GGATGGATGGATAGATGGAGGGAGGGATAGAGGGAGGGAGGGAGGAAGGGAGGGAGGAGAGATGCGGTTTACCTCAATTTTCAGCCACTTCAGAGCAATAAGAACCTGGAAAAAGTACACAGAAATAAACTATAAGCCATCAAATTAAAACAAATTAAATTCGTTTTGATAGTTCATCGTACAATCTAAACAGTCCTTAACATGTCAGTATATACTCCTTTCAAAATAACGTTGTCGATGGATTCAAAGAGATCTCAAATCTCAGACCGAGTAGCACGCTGCAAATTGTAATATATTTACAGTCGAACAACGTAGTTTTCTTTTAGATTAAAAAACGAGGATTTTAGCCAGAAAAAGTAAAAGTACAAAAATTCAGAATAATGTCAAATCGCCCATTTCAGGGGCGCTTTCCATCGGAAGTAAAATTTTCCCGCTCTTTCAAAATATGTGTACGTATACGCGCTGTGTGAACGAAAGAGTCATCGCTGAACAAGGTTACCATGGCAATAACTTCGTAATCATAGAAACACGTTGCTTGGCAACAATAATTATTAGTAGCATCGTAATGACCTGTGGCATGTTGCTTGCTTCAAACAAGTCCACTGTGACGAACTTGTATTCGTCCTGGACACCGTAGGCTGTCAAGAAATCTGAGAAAAACCCAATGTTCTCCATCTGATGATAAGAAGAAAACCAAATTTCGTTTTATTGTACGTTCTCAACAACATGTCAGAGAATGATAATAACAATACAGGGGCGAAGCCAGGATTTTCCGGTGGGGAGGGGGGTGCAAATTCAAAAATTTGCCATCTTGTTTTTGGACCCCAAAAACGCCGGACAAAGAAGAAAAAAGAAAAAGACCTGGCAATTACGTTTTACGTTTCCATTTTGCAAAACGTAGAAAAAATTATCTAAAGTACCGTAAAAATTCTAAAAAGCTTCCATTTTGTTGCCATGAGGGGGGGGGGGGAGGACCATGGCCCCCTGCCTACGCCCTTATAATAATAGCAATATTTTATTTCTTAAAGCAGGCTAATTATTCTGTCAGCTTTTACTGATGCGGGCCTGCTTTCACTCACATTCACTACCACTACATTAACTCATTTTGTGCACACACTGCTAAACTCACATGTTGATTTTTTTTACGGAGGGAGGAGGAAGGCAGGGAGGCATCTTTATCACGTGGAATCGCTAACCCTTAACATCATCATCATGATGTTCCTCCCCCTGGGGATAAATTTTAACTAGTTGTATAGCACCATACGAACCTTCTTGAATGCCATCTGCGACGTGTTAACTTTTTGGATGGACCCCGGCTTGATTACATTGGCTAGGCTAGAAGAAAAAAAAGGACAAGGGAATTGACGAAAAATGGGTCTTTATCGGTGTAGCAAAATGGGTCTTTCTTGGTGTTGCAGGATGTATTGTATTCTGGGTTAGGGTTATTGTATTGCAGGGTATTGTTAAGCTCAAAACTCATTGTTCTCAGCTATTGTTTTATTGTCTTCATGCTTCAGGTGCCTTGCAACACCAAAAAAGAGCCCGAAAAATGATTACACATTTCAAGAGAAGGGAGGGGAGAGAGGGGCAGGATTAGACTGATAAACATACTTGCAAAGGATAACGCCACTTTTGAGGACTTCATGAAAATCGTCTGCGCTATGTCCCCCAGACCAGTCGCACTTGGTTAAGCGCACAATCCAGTCCTTGACATCCTTTGCAGTTTCATTGTCCCACTAGATGCAGGTTAACATCGGTAAAAACTGATTAGAAACCGATACATCACCAACCTTCCCTTTGCCCCACCAGTGCCCCTGCCCTTTATCGCTGAGAAGACACTGGGAATGAACTAGCGCGTGCATCAATCAATCAACTACATATGCTTATTAACGACAGGGAACGCGGAAGGGGTGGGGCAGGGGGCTACAGCTCCTCCCACTTATTCCCTTTTACCATGCTAGTCTCTCTCTCTCTCTCATATATTTTCCATTTTGGATGGCAGAAAAAAACAAAACGTTATCATAACCAATCGCCACATGACATTCGGTTGTACCCAGATCCAGGGACGGCGGAATCGGGGAGACCCCCCACGATTTGGGGGGGGGGGGGGCAGGCCCCCCACAAAATGTTGGTTCACATGAAATATAAATGCATAGATTCGAATTTTGATACTGTCATTAAGTTATTGTTGTGATTTTTTGCAGTGCTCCCCCCCCAAAGATTTTCAGCTTCCGCCGCCCCTGAGATCTAGATTTTCTTTTCCACCTAAATAAGCGATATATCAACCACTGAAAATGGCATAACAAAAAGAATGGAATATAGCAATTGTTTTGTTATTCAATTGTGTTGATAAATCAGTTGAGAAAGAACCGAAATAGGCAGATATTGCTATAGTAACAAACACAGCCAGCCCGTTGAGTAGCAGGTGAAATATAGCATTGTTTTAAAAATTAACAAATTTGAGGTTGAAGTTCAGGAATGCTATCGATTTTCACGAAGAATTTTGTTATAAACGTTGTTCATTATACCCTCCAAACCAATCTTTTACACGTACTGGCTATAGACGGCTTAATACAGTAACAATGAACTGCTTTCTGAAGCCATACATCATAAATATTTATCAACTGTTGTCACGGAATATGTTAATCCTCAGCAAACTTATCTTCCTAATTCGCATAACTTTAAAAAGAAAAGAAAATTTTCGAGCAAAGGTTTTTCATTTTGTATTGAAAATGCTCTTAGAAGTGGAAAATATATGTATAATAACGAAGAATTGTTTTTTCGTAATATTTACGTAAGCTTATTCTCCAGAATATTTTGTTTAAAAGTTTGCATTTATACTCATTCGGCAGGAAAGTGTCACAGAATCGTTATGATGCGAAAGAATGTTTTCTTCCTTCGCAAATGGAGCTAATAGACTTAAAATGAAAACGCCGTAAATCAAAAGACTATGAGATGCCCCAATATTTAAGTAAATATTCCTTGGCTTTGGCGAATGTATTCAAAATCTATCCATATCGACTTACTGTATTAGACAAAAGCCCTCTCGTAAACAGGTAATAATCCAGTAAAATTCTAAGCTCTAAAAATCGCATATATTCTTTTGCATTGCATTGTATTCCCGTTATTTTCTATGTTTATTGAGTTCTGTATTGCATAAATACGTACCTTTGAAGCCATTTTCAACAGCTAAGATAAGATTTTTAAGAAGGTATGAACAAGGTGTTGTCTTGTAGATATTAGAATGCACGACTAGTAATCTCGTTGTTTTTGCGTGACCAAAAAGTCGTCACAAACATTCTTGAATAAATTATGCATGTGTGTGATTTCACGTGTGCACCCCACGCCCAAAGACAAACTTGGAAGCTTTTAAAGTGAAAAAAGATTATTTGTGGCAGTCATATAAGACAACATAGACACTTGTTAGGTACTGGTGATAAAAATCAGTATTAGGGGGAGATCAAGAGGAGGCGTGAACTGTACCATAACTCTGGGCTCATGGTAAGAAAACGTCTTTGTAAAAATACCCAATGCATGAGTGACCCATAAAATGCTGCATTGTATACAGTCCTTTGACTAAACGTTGTCGTTTGATCGGCTTCATCCCTACGCGCCTAGACCGAAAAGAATCATGGGGATAATTAATTCACAGTTACTAGCAGTGTTCTGACCAGGAATTTCTTTCAGGGGGTCAAAGGGCCCACCAATCCAAAATTTAGGGGCCATTTAGAAAACTGGATGGGCCATTTCCAAAATCTTAAGACAAAGAAGTTTTTTGACTAGTAATTTAACTGTTGCAAATCTACAACAGCAAAATGATACAACAAAAGTAATCATAAGGCCATGAATATACTATACATCTTTGTAAACAAGCACGAAGTATTTCTGGATACTTTGTGCACCATTAAAGGCGCATAGAGTTGAAATTTGTGCGCCATTTCTGTTTTTTATGCGCGACTCCCACAATGGCGCGGCCTGGTATGAACACTGTACTAGCTGCCGCATATGTTATCTAACACGTCTTGAGCTCGCTTTTTTCGATCCCATTTAATTTGCTAAAACCCTGCCTCGAGCATACGGCGAAGATTTAACGCTGTCAAGCAGTTTGGATGACGCAAATTCTGGGTAATTTACCCGTTATCCTTTTCGGTCTAGGCGCGTAGGGATGATCCGATCAACGACAACGTTTAGTCAAAAGACTGTATTTGAAAAGCTACCCGGGTCCCGGGTTAGGGTTTTGCAGGTTATCGCTAAGCTCCAAATTCGTTATCGTTGGTTATTGTTTTAATGTCTTCATGTATGTATCAGGTGCCTTGAAAGAAAGAACCAAGAAAGAGCCAGCAAAAGTATGACTTACAATAGACCTCTCCGGCTTGGGGTAATATTTTCCCATTTCAGACCACGTGTCATTCCCTTGAGAATAAGATTCTTCGTTTGAGCTGTATCCATGTTCATGTGTCTTCTCGTGTGCAACCGAGCGCACACTTTAAACAAAGAAATGATACTCTAGGGAATGACATGTGGTCTGAAATGGGAAAACATCACGTCAGAGCCGAAGAGGTCTATTGAAAAGTTTTAGTGCTGAAAGTTGTTTCAAAAAGTTTGTCCCTCAGCAACAAGTCTTAAAGGAGTTTACGTTAGCGAGGTCGGCACCATTGACCGCTGACCACGAGGAACGAAGGTTCGAAATTTTGACCGGGTTTAAAAAGATTAAATGCTCAAAAATCACGTGATAACGACGTCATGATTATTCTATTGTATTGTATCCTATTATTTCTTTTCAAAGTAAGAGGTATAATCCAACATGCTTTTAATTGATGCCCTTTTCTGCAGCCTGTGAAAAGAAACAGACGCGTGTTACTAGCTTCTTCCCAGAGTTTCTTGGTTCTGAGACAGCCTCTTAGAGATCAAAAAAGAAACAGAGAAACTCTGGGAACGACCGCAAGAGTGTGCATGCGCCGGCTATCCTTAAATGCATAATTAATGAAGCTCTTTATTTCGATTGATGTTTTAATTTTATACGTACCTTATCCTTGAGTGCACGTAATGCTAGAACCACCTAGATAAAGGATGCAATAATGAATAATCAAATAATTATTTTCAATTCTACCCTCGCCTAAGAACCAATCTCATAACCAGTCCTCCTGCGCCTTCCTAATTTGTCGTCAACGCCTAGTAAGCCCACTGATTAAAACGTTGGAAGGCTCTTGGCTCAAGATTGGTTGAGAACGCGCAGTAAAAATGACAGGGCTCTGGGATCGAGATTGGTGAATTTCCCGCGCGGGGAACTCCGACACAGGGAGCCCACACGGCGAAAAAGAAAACAACCCAAATGCCGTTTATGTGCACGTGCTTTGTACCTTGGAGAAAAGGTTAAGGAATGAAGAATAACCTGATAATTCTACAGCCTCACCTGCCAGACATTTTGTTTCTCGTACAAATCTACTGTGACGAAGATGTATTCATGTTGTACGCCATAAGCTGTTATAAAATCCACAAACCAGCCTATATTTTCCATCTAAAATGAAAATGAGAAATAACTATTATAACTATTATGAGGATGAAAGTTACTGTGTTTTAAGTTTGGCCACGTGGAACTTTACGCAATGGAGAARAAAAAAAGAAGAAAAAAAAGAGATCGACCGCCAAAAATTGTACTAAAAAATATAATTGACAAAATAGCAGGCTTTTTTTTTTAACTTTTAGGCACGCAAGACTTTGTGCATTGATGAAAAAAAGAAAGAGAAAAATATTAACCAACTGAAAATCGTATTTGCGGGAATGTCTTTGATTGGATAGCCGCTCGCTCTCTGAAGTCTTGTTGAGCGAAACAAACTCCAGCGTCGTTCTTAAAGTTATCCTTGGGAACACAAACATTGTGACTATCTTCTGAGACCAAAATTCACGCGTTTTTTCCCCTTTCTTCAAGGAATACAGGAACTTTTATTCATCCTGTCTGCAACCTTTATACTAGCTATTCCGAGGTTGAGAATAAGACTGGGTCGAGTTGTCATTGTAGTGCATTGTGGGGGTCTCCCGTTTAAGGGGACGAATTATAAGACGCCATTTTGGAAATATGTCCCCCAATACAGTCCCACAATGCACTGCAATGCCCAATCAATCCAGTTTTTTCCTCATTTTGGAACGGCAGCTAATACAGCACAATCTAATTACCATCTTAAATGCCATTTTCCCTGGTTTATTAGGTTTACGAATCGCTCCAGGCTGGATTGCATTCGCGAGACTAAAAAAAAGAAATAAGAAACAACATTTGTATGACCAGGGGTGCGGCTAGGAAAGGGTAGGGCCGTAGCCACCAGTACGGTTGGTCCGGTTTTAACCGCCCACTTTTTATCTTCAAGACCATTTTTTYCCCCCGTATTAAATATTTATACAGGACCACCTTTTTCTAAAAAGCCGGACATATCAAACATCGAGTGTCGTATTTCCCTGTGTCTGTTGTCTGCGAGGCAGACCCACGAGTTAGATCGTCCCAGTATCCCGTCCTCGATTTTCAAACTTTTTTCCTTCTTTTACTTGTCTTTTTTTTTCTTCTTCTTCTTCTTCTTCTTCTTCTTCTTTTCTTTTCTTTTCTTTTCTTCTTCAAAAATGTTCATGTCGAATTCGTTATAAAACGACGGCCTTTTTGTTTACCGCTTTTCCGCTCAATCCAAATATGGAATTGAGCATACCATGGAGTATGGAGCGACCTTTCTCTACTTCAACTTCGACACTAACATATAGAATAAATAGAGGATATTACATGGGCGCGCGGAGTTTATTATATAATTATCAATGAAGTATGTTTTGGCTTTTTCAGGTAATTCTTTCCGTGTATTTTTTTAATAGAGAAAAATAGATATTTCATTGGTAATTATATAATAAAGCTTGATATGCCACTGTCCAAGTGGTGGCTACGGCCTTATAGAGGGAATTACTACACATACTTGCAGAGTATTACACCATCTTTGAGGGACGCAGCGAACTCGTCCTGATTGCCATGTTTGAAGGATTCTCCGGTGTGTTTCGTGATCCACGAGCAAATCTCACTGACTAAAGAATCATCCCATTTACCGCTAATCTAGAACGAGACGAACAAATATAAATAATTAATTCTGGTTACATCTTATTATTCACCATCAGTGCCTCCGTTTGACGAATATCATCTAGAAATAAATGTAGAAAAGCGAGGATAGGAAAACTAGAAGTGGCTCGTCTTCCACTGCGCGTGCGCAGACTCCAAAGGCGGCAGAGCTCATTACTAAACCATTTGACGCCATATTGAATTGGAAATTTGATTTTGATTTTTGCGGAGGGAGGAAAACCAGAGAACCTGGAGAAAACCCTCGAATCGCAAAAGTGAACCGAACAAGTAACTCCACTCGCATGTAAAACTATGCGCGGGAATCAATCCTAGATTGGCGCTGGTGAGAAACGCTGAAGCGCTTTCTCCGCTACACCAGACAAAACCATTCTTCCGTACTGCATGAGGTGACTTGTTATGGACAACAAGTCGGCGAATTCTGGATATCCCGCGTCTACAATACTCGTCTCATCCTCGTCAATTTTGAGAATCAAGCTGTAAGCTGTAATTCAAAGTATAGTGTATATAGCAAACCCAGGAATCGGTATACCTTGGATTTGGTGTTGGACATGCTAGGAATTTCTACTTCGACTTCATCCATTTTGAAGATAAACTGGGACAGCCTTGAGCAAAACTGACAAATACTTAGAAGTTATGATTTCTTTGCGAAGAATAAACTGTAGTGGTGAATTGTTATTGAAAAAGCTTTGGAAAAATATAGGGTTATCGGTTTTAATAGTATGATTGAGCCTAATGTTGTTGTTCTTTACGTCCATGTTACGTCATTCTACCCCATGGATTAATTCAAAATCTATAGCCAAAACAAAACGATCGAGCGAAATTCTCCCAACTCATTCATGTGGTTATGGTATCAAAATGTCCATCATGTACTTACTGAAAATGAAGTAACTGGTGTGGAGATTTTCGCTTTTGGTCAGTTCAGAAAACCATATGGTAATCAGTCTCGTGTCTTCTTTGTGTTCTTTAATTGAGAATAATTATTGCGAGAAATGTGTCTTCCGAAGATGCCATTCGAAAACCTAGTTTTTGGTCAGAGGTACTTTAGGTCATAGAGAGGTATCAGATTATGATGTTTAAGATCTTTAAGCAGGCAAAGAAGAGTGAGTTATTACATAAGAAAGAACATACCCTGGAATGCAAAACCTTCTCAAGAAACGATCCAATTAATTTAACTTTGCTGTGACGTTGGTTTGATACTTAACGGGTCACATACGTACACTTAGGGGTTCCTCCGATCCTTTCGTTTTCTTTTCTTTCTTTTCGTTTTCTTTCGTTTCGTTTCATTTCGTTTCATTTCGTTTCTTCTTTGCTTTCCTTTCCTCTTTCCTTTCCTTTCCTTCCTTTCCTCTTTCCCTTCCTTTCCTCTTTCCTTTTCTTTTCTTTCCTCTTCCCTTTGTTTTCCTTTTTCCATTGTCTTCCTTTTTTTAATTTCCTTTCCTTACTTTCTATTATATCCCACTTTTCGTTTTTTCTTTACTTTTGTTTTCGATTCTCTGCGCTTTTAACTTCAAGAAATGCATCTTCATCTTGAAGTGCGATGTATTTGGGGATTTCCAATTAGATAACCCATAATGCATTACGTTAAGGTCACCATGGCAACATGAGAGGTCGAGCTGTGTATCAATTTTTCTGGGGGAGGGGGATAGGTTTAGATGTGCTGCTGAGCTGAAAAGCGATGATTATCAGTTTCATTGACCGCGTGTAAATTTCGTCCACATCCTTGTAAAGCAAGAACTTACTAGTAAATAAAAAGACTTTCTTTATTGAAGAAAACCCACCCCAAAACTCCAGTCGCATATGTTTTCGATATTTACCTTCGATATGTACTCAGTAGATTAGTTGAGGAGTTTGTTGACCTTTTTCAGACGTTTTTCTGTCTCTCAGACATTCCTCATTAACAGACTTTCTTTTATTTAAATTCTATCTCGTAAGACTTGCTTGGCCAGGCCAGCAGAGGCATTTTAATTAATAGATTTTCGGCCATTAATTGTTTCTCCGCTCCGTTGAATCATTATTGTATTTTAGTAATTAGAAAAACAGACTTTGCGGTGTTTTATTCCTAAGTTTAACACCACTTAAATTCCTTCTTAAATTTTACAAAAACTAGCTATCGGCTTCTATGAAGTTGTTTATTTTTTGGTGGTTCTGCACACTCAGTGAATGTTTTGCTCCAGCTAGCAATGTTTGATTATCTAAATCAAAATTAGGACGCAATGTCACTTTATAATTTAAAATTTAAAATTGATAAAGCCTCTGTATAATAAATAGTTCTGTAATTAATTCGCAGAGGGATTCTTCTTACTTCAATCAACGTTTGAAGTCGTCTTGATTTAAATGTGTTGTATTTGTGCTGTATTTTTCGAGCTTACAAAGCTTCCCTTTAGTAAATAAAATGTCATATAAACAGCTAACATTATGTGAATAGATTCCATATTACAAAACCCCAAAACAAACATATAAACTACGTAACTTGCTCCAACTTAAAATGATTTAGACTATGCTTAGACGAAATTTTAGTTTCAACGCTCTTAAAATTATATTTTCGTGGTAATTTTCCAAACAGCTTAAAAATTTGTTAGTTAGCTATTACAAATGATCGAACTACGAAGCATGTTGAATGTTGAATATTATCGTGAAATTACTATTAATTGTTTTCTTTACCTTTYGCTTTTCTTTGACATTTTGATGTGTTGGACGATAAGCCATGATGATGTCAGTACTGAGTTGAATTGACGATGAAGATATGAAATTTGTGATTAACGAGGTAGAGGAAAGCGTGAAAAGCCAAGGAGAGTGAACCAAAATCCTGTGGAATTCCAAGAACGATGTTTAAGACAAATGACACAAAAAATGTAAAGGTTAAATGGTATTGTTAAAGAGATGATCAAAGTTTTATTTCTCCATTCATGTGGACACAGACGTGTGTTATAAGAATTGAAATATGATCAGGAGCTCAAGCAAAGATGATGGAATAAAATTAGGTTATCTAGAAAAATATCGCACTAAACGCACTTAGAATATTGTTATTAGAAGGCAATAAAGAATTAGTAAACATGTCAGACGAGACAGAGATACCTTTTTTTATGACCGTGAATGAGTAATTTTAGACAGTGAAGGAAGAAAGGTCGCTTCTGCTTCAAGTAGAGGGGATGTGGTGGGCTTATACTGTTATTAAAATATTTTGGTCCATATAAGAAAATGAATAGTGTTTCTAACTGACACATCGAAGTCAAATTGTGATAAAAGCCCTGTGACGAAATAATTGAAGCCCCTCGAGAGTTAAAACATAATAATCTAATGGCAGCGCTTTTCAAGGAGTAGTAAGAAGAAAGAAATGACATAATCCTTTATATTTTAAGCTTTTCTATTAAGTCTTTCTATTGTTAGAGTTTCATTAAATATGGAACAATATTTCGTAAGCAAGTTCAGTTGTTTTGAAGTCAGTTGTTCTGTTCAACGAAAGATCGTACAAGAGCTGTGAGGAGCTAGCCTCCTTTGCAGCCGCTGTGAGGCGCTTCCGGTTCCCGTCAACCCGGAAACCGGAAGCCGGAAGCGCCTCACAGCGGCTGCAAAGGAGGCTAAGAGGAGCAGGAGCAGGATATTAAGGAACCTCGTCAACTATTCGAAGACAGGATAGTGGGTTAACAGATACAGAAGAAATTGTTGTTGGAAGTTTGGGTGAGCAGTTATTGAACATTGAACATTGAGTATCAAACCAGAACTCTGAATCAAGTATATTAAGTTAGTAAAATACTAAAGTTTCATAGTTTAGCGATTTATTTAAGTTTATCGTTTATCGTTAAGGTTCGTTTTCATAATAAATGCTGTCATTAGAATATTACTTCTGTGTTTCTCTTAGTTTCCCTGGGAAGGAAGGCGCAATACTTAGTAAAAAAACAGTACCGGTCTGAACAGCGTCACAAGCCCATAATCTGCAACGGGATCCCTGTGTTGGTTACGATACATTTAAGGCAAGAGAATATGAACTAAGAGAAGGAATCCTATCTATATCATGTGCACAGTTTGATGCTATTTTTAGCTTGGAGATATTTTGAGCGAAGAACCTGATTGGTTGATTTCTTAAGGGTAGGCGGCTTCCAGTCTTTTCAGTAAACAAAAGCTTGTGTTTTTGTCGTGGACAAAACGAAATATGGCGCTTTTCGTGTCCTAAAACCTAGGCATTAAAGGGAAGCATGGTTATCGCGCGGGTATGGTAACGAGTTAAAAATAGCATCAATGATTAAAAATAGCATCAAAGTGTGCACATGATGGTGCACGGGGATTCCTTCTCTTAGTTCATATTCTCTTGTTTAAGGGTTTTGGCGGGAAAGTAGAGACGAAATAGTTGGTTTAACTGCTATCAAAATCGTTTGGTCCTGGAACTCCTGGAAGGAATATAAAATGGTAAGTGTATCCTGGAATACAAATAGACCCTTCTCGAGTTCCAAATTACCGCTGTGTTCCTTGATTGCAGACTCGTTTACTAAGGATAGCCCAGCAACAGTCAACAACTTCAACAATACAAACAATTTGAAATTCCATGGACATTCACTGTAACGCATAATAATTCTGCACAAAATCTAGGTTAAGCCTCAGCAACAGAAAACACGAAATCTGAAACGGGTTCCCTGTGTCGGTTACGATACATTTGAGGGTTTTGGCGCCAAAGTAGAGATATCTTTCCAATATATTTTGGCCCATTTAAGGAAAGGAATAGAAATCTATCAACCATCGCATTTTGGTCGTTTATTTGATATATACAGGGAGTTGTTTGATATGGCACGAATCTTCTGTTTTGTCACCATGGTAACAGAGCAACAGTGGTAATAAGGCTTCAATCGTGGATCATTTCATGATTTGTAAACGAACAAACCACGCATGTTACCCGAGCAGCGGCAAAATTAACATGGTCAAGTATCGTTAATGACTTTCAACGCCCAAAAATGACATTTATTTTTAGAAAACGAGCTTAGATTTTTTGACAAGAACTACGACTGAATCAGGGGGTCCGCGGGGAGAGGTCAAAGTTCCCTTGCTCTCCATACATTTTACTGTTTGTTCCCTCGAAAATTCGAAGTACAAAATTCGTCAATTTGTTCCCCAAGAATGTGATTTTTCACAAATTTATTTATTATTTGTTCCCTAAAAGTTATTTAATAATAATAATAATAGTAGTAGTAGTAATAATAATGAAAACTTTATTTTGATGCTTTTTGTTTTACAATTGCAAATCTAATAATAATAATAATAATGATAATGATAATAATAATAACTTTAATGCTTATAGCGCGCATTTTCATGACGAAATAATCAAGTGAGCAAATTATAAATGACATATATAAATAAAACGCAAATTTGCAATAAACTAAAATTCAATATTCCGTATAATGACGAAAATCAAATAATTGTTAATATATTATTATTGATAAATTGATGATATCCCTTGTTCCCTAAAAGTAAATGGTCGTGTTCCCTTGTTCCCTCAAACCCTCTGGGGGAGCCTCAGGTCCGCTCGCGAGGACGCGAGACTACGGATGATGGAAGATTCATTCAGCGTCACATACACCCCGGTGTTTCCCATGCAGCGTGTCCATCATGCACGTATCTTGAACCAGAGAAATACTTCAGTTTGCGACAAACCTAAAAATAATTCAAAATCGGTCAAACATCATGCTTGTTCTTGAGCCTCTATCGGTAGCAATTTGTCCGATCCTGTCGTCATGGTACCATCAACACATCAAAAAAGCTATAAAAAGGTTTCTGCGTGGCTCTATATAAGATGCTGTATTCGCGACAAACTTTGTTAGGCTAGCTAGTATCGCGAAGAGCATAAGAAGACTATTCTAAATTATCTCGAGAAAGAAAATCAGAGGTAGAACACGTTTTGCGGTTTTATCAGGTCAGTGAAACATCAATGGTTTACCCGTGATTAAGGTGAATCCAAACTAATTCAGAGCGAATTTTGAACAATTTCATTCTCGCTCGCTTCTCAAAACTACTGCGGCAATTTAAATGGATTTTTCATATAATGAGCTTTGATTATCCTAGATTCTAACAGTGTATCTTATTTTAAGATTTTTTAAAGTGTTTTAGCCTATTACGGCCGAAAATCAAACAGCGCTATTTTTAGTTTTTGGCTTTTTTCTCCTCATCCCCAGTAACGTTTATCCTGAAATTTTCAAAATCTTATCATCTAGTACTAATGCAGCCTGTGTATAAATTTGGATGGAAAGTCTAGGGCAGGAAAAAGTACATTCATCAAAGCACATTGTATGAAAAATCCAGTTAAATTGACGCACTAGTTTTGCAAATCGAGCGAGAATAAAATTGTCCGCAATTCGCTCTGAATTAGTTTGGTTCCACCCTAATCGTGGATTCGCTATCCCTTACTGCGCCGCCTCACCGCTGTCTCTTGGTTGTCCGGTATCGCTCTCTCCATAAAAATCAAAATGTGAGTTAATTGAATGTAGTGGTAGTGTGTGTAGAGCGAACTTCCCTCTCCTTTACGTACCCACAGCCTAAAAACCTCAAGACCACTTTATGGTTGGAGTAAGACTGAAAATCCTAGTGTTACAAGGTAAAGAGAATGATTTAAATCGCAGAATTTAATGATGCTGACGTTGATTCCTGTCACGATTTTGGTTGTTGTGTTACCCTTCTCTGTCACGCAAGCCTCTACGCACAATGGTGGTGACGGGATTACCTATCGACTGAATGTCGTTCAAGATGTCTGTCTGGAGCGAGGGAGTACTAACTTCAATTATCTTCAGTATCTGTTGGTTGGCCGTCACCCACAGTACCCCAAGAAACGTTCACTGGTCCAATTTGAAAATCTACCTTTAGAATGTCCTGTGCACAAAATTCGTTGGGCCAAGATGTACCTTTATTTCGCATACTCTCACAAAGCCAGTGGGCATACTGTTATCCAGACTCCCTACATCTCCCGTCCAATTCAAGTCCACCTGGTCAAGAAAGCGTGGGCCGAAAGCCAAGCCACGAGTGTGAGGCGTTTGAATGGCATAAATTGGTCTCAACCATACCTTGATTTGAATAACAATGATGCCGAGGCTACACCACAGGACTGCGCGACCACCATCTACTCCTTCCGCCCAAGCGGCTTTGTCGAGTTTGACGTCACTAGGGCTGTACGTAGCTGGCGTAAAGGTACGCCTAACCATGGCATGTTGCTCTGGGCAACGGATGAAAATTTAGCGGGAAGAGATCTGCGTTTTGCTAGCAACGCCCATCCTGATTCCAAGAAACATGCATTTATTAATGTCATGTGTGAGTACTAAAATTCAGTCAACGGATTACGAACGTTTTCCGAACCCGTTCCGAGTTGTTGTTTTTAAGAATGTTTTCATTAGTAAAAAGCTAGCCTAAAAAATTATCATTCTTGAACACGTAAACAAGAAACAGTGCATAGTCCCCTTCACAGTTCCCTGCGCCATTTTGAAAGGTAGCCGTGCCTTTGCATCGAAGCGAGACGAACGGTGAGCTTGCAACGATAGAGACATGTGAATAATTGTCCAAGGCGTTAAAAAGAGGTCAATAACTTTGCAAGCTCACCGTTCGTCTCGCTTCGATGCAAAGGCTCGGCTACCTTCATAACTTCATAACTAGCACTCGTATAAGCTGTGGACAGTTTAAATTCTTTTAGATTACTTAAATGGATTCACTAAAAAGACACCGAGAATACTGAATTTTTGATAAGGATGCATGTAAGATTCAGTCAGTTACTGATCTACGATTACAATCATAAACTGAAATAAATAATAACATAACCAGCAGTTTATTTGTCTATCTTTGTAATTAGATTATGGGTATATCATCACTGGCACTACTAAAGTCACGTGCACGCAACAAGGAACTGGTGCCCTCCCAATTGATGGCCGAGTTCGGGGAATGGTAGCCGGCCTTCAGGTCTTAGGGAATCGAGCCCACAACTGACCACAATCCGTTTTCGAAAATACCGAATAGAGCATTTTCATACGACATCACAGCCGCCATATTGGTGTATCTTCGACAATAACTTTGTCATTAGTTTCTTTTGTTAGGTACACCAATATGGCTGCCATCTCTATTTTCAGACATGATGTCACACCCGCAATATTGGTGTCCTTTGACAACTTTGTCATTACTTTCTTTTGTTAGGTACACCAATATGGCTGCCATCTCTATTATCAGACATGACGTCACAGCCGCCATATTGGTGTACCTTTGACAATAACTTTGTCATTAGTTTCTTTTGTTAGGTACACCAATATGGCTGCAACCTCTATTGTCAGACATGACGTCACAGCCACCATATTGGTGTACATTTGACAATAACTTTGTCATTAGTTTCTTTTGTTAGGTACACCAATATGGCTGCCATCTCTATTGTCAGTTAACTCTCTAGGGACAGAGTRAAAATCTTATAAGACCCCGTCCACACGTGTCCGGAAATTTTGGTATCCGTATCCGGAAATTTTCGAAAACAGTCTCCAGAGTGGAAATTTTCGAATACGCTCCTAATACGCCGGATACGTGTGGACAGTCGTATCCGCAAATTTTCGAATACGCTGACGTAAACACGATTTTGCGCATGCTCAATGAGAAAAACTATCCGTCAAAGGGACTAGGCACTAGCGTGCATCAGGGCGGATCAAGAAATTTCTGGATACATGTGGACAGCGAAAACAATTCGAATACGCTGCGCGTGGACGCAAACATTTTCGTTTCCGCAAAAAAAAATATTTGCGGATACAAAAATCTTCGGATACGTGTGGACGGGGCCTAAGATATTCTGAGGTCGAGGAAAACTAATCTGGGTCGAGTTTGCATTGCAAAGCATTGACGGACTGTTTTAGGGGAAATATTTCCAAGATGGCGTCTATTTCGTCCCTCAAAACAGCCCCACATTGCACTGCAATGTCAACTCGACTCAGTTTTTTCCCTTATCCTCGGAGTGCCTAATACGTGCATTCTATAGAACAATAATGTGCATGCTACGTCATAGCCGCCATGTTGGTTGACAATTACAAAGCATTCCTCATTAGCTGGTGTCCACTTCAAACCGTTTTTCTCAGCTGCGCTTGGGTCGCCTGTGGTACTCACAGGGAAAAAGTTGTATTTAGATTTATGCTCAGCGAGAACCGTCCCCGCCGCGGGCACCGTTCTCGGTCACCAACGGGGAATAACAATGCGGAACTTGACGTACAAGAGTAGCAGTAACTGGTTGTTTTCGTCTCAAAATATAATGTCACTTAATTGTAAGTGACCTTGACGAATAGTTCCCTTCACGGTTTCTCTACCATCTTGAATAAATCATGTTACGGACGTTGAAACGAAACTAACGGCGAGTTGTTTCTTGTTCTGTTGATTATGAGACATCACAGTGTCTTCTATCCTCGGTGTTTGCCTTCTGTTTTTTCAACTTTTCTGTTCTGTTTAGTTTTGTTCGTGAATATGTGACTCGCCGTTCGTCTCGTTTCGATGTTTATTATCCTAATTTATTCAATATGACAGAGGAATTGTGAAGATAACTATTTCCGCAAACGAATAAATTTGTCTTTAAAAGGATATGAAATTGCCATAGAAAATAACGATTTATAATACCTTTGAAAGATGCAAAAGGACACTTTAATACTCAGTACAGTCAAGCTATTCAAAGCAGGAAACGCTACGATGATAACGGCTTCCTCGAAATATCCGTCCAGCCATAAAGACTACGTAATTGAAATCCGTAAATTACTCAAGTTTATCCAAACGTGAAAAGCGAGTCAGCGGTTGTTGGTGAAATCGCGGGCTCATTTGCTTGATATAGAAAATGCTAACCGTTTCTGGAGGGATGTACATACAGTGACAACTCCACCACTGCCCAGATGGGGATGATGTTATGTGAAATGTGAGCCCTCGCAGACCTTTTTCGAACTCATCTAATACCGCTGTGTTCCTTGATTACAGACTCATTTTCTCAGGCTTAGCCGCGAATCAGTGTCTAAATATTCACAAATAAGATAACAAAATAACATCCAAGATAACTATATAAAAAATAAGATCCAAGATAACTTTAAGAAGGGTCCATTGCGAACTTCAGTTCTATAGATGTTTTGCACCATCACGTGCCCATGCCATAATACTGCTTGGGCTGCCTGTGGTTAGATAGCCGAACAATAAAATCCCTCTGCTCTTGGGAATTGAATTCTTTCTTATGTAAAACGACTGTATTGTTCCTGCCATCTAACATGGCTGCCGTCATGTGATGGTGCAAAACCTCTATAGAGCATTATTTTGGACCCCGTCCCTAACTGATATTTGTCCCTAATCAACAACCCTTCCCATGAATTAATGTTACATCAAGCTTCACGAAGTGCAAAATTTGACCATTTACGTTTTGTTACGTCAAACTTTATCACGCGATCAAAGCTACTTTTAGCTCTTGCCTCATTCTGCTCAGCATATATTCGGGTGTTTTTTCCCGTTTTATTGTGTGTTTAACTGCCGCTACAATAAACGGAAGGAAACGATAGACAACAAGCAAAGAAAGTTCGAAGGTAAGAATGGAATCGAATATTCAGTATTCAGTATATTCAATGTTCAGTAATGTAACTATTGAACTAAATTTTCCTTCTTACTCACATTTTCACGATAAGAGGTTTTAAACCTTTAAATTTTTCTTTTGCGCCGCACAAAAATAGTGAAGAATCTTTTAGAAAACTAGCGGTTTCATCAGTGTTTTGCAGACCTTATCACATAGATATGCCCATAATATAGCGTAGACAGCAAAATGGGCCAAATAAAATTGGGAATCCATTTCTCCGGTGCTTTCAAAGTTTTAGTAATTTCAAAACTTTGAAAAACTCTTATAAAATAATTGGGATAGTTTTGGCGTGTTTGTTATTTTATAAAACCGATCAAAAAACAGTTTCCTGTGTTTGATACTCTGATCAAAACACTTGAGATGTTGAGAGCACACTCGAGAAGGTGGAAACCACTCCGCCACTCAGAGTATCAAACACGGAAAACTATTTTTGATCTGTTAGATAAAATTATGCATAAAGTCTTAAATTTTCCTGATCCCATCACTATTACGACATTTCACGTGAAAATTTCATCTGTAAAACCGAAAAAAGTATACCTTTTTATCGCATTAATTATGCGAATGTTGACTAACGAGAAGTGCTAACGAAATGCAAAACTAGTAAATTAAGGGGCGACCCGACAAGTTCTGGCGGGCTGGCCACTTGGAATTTTCGGTTCTACTTATAAAATGGAAAGATTTTTATACGTTTAGAATGTCTTTTGGATTCTCAAAGTTTTTTAGATGCATGGTCAGTGTCATTCAAAGATTTCAAAGAAAGGACTGCAAGATTTCGTATATCACTTTTAGAAACGGAAAATTTGAGCAGGAGCTACGCGAGGTGGATAATGATGAAGATGATGGGAAATAGTTCAAGGATGACAGTGGACATCCTGTTATTTTAAAAAGTTGTGCATGAGCAGGTCTTAACTTTCCAATTTTAGAAATAATTTTAGAAACGGAAAAATTTAGTAGCAGGAACTAATAGTGAGGATGACGACAAACAGTTAAACGAGAGTAGACATCCTGCTATGTAACGAAGTTGTGCGTGAGCAGATTTATATATATTTTTTAGCTAGACAAATTCAGTTTTTTAAAGGGAACGTGGTGGTGGTGGTGACAATGATTTTCAAACCTCAGTCTTCCTCCCATCTCAAAAATCCTGGGAATGCATGGAGTAAAGAAGAAATAAGTTTAAGAAGTTTGATAATAAATAATTGGGAAGAAAATGACAATTTGAAATGCTTTAAATCGTAGGATATGACGATGATGATATTGATTCCTGTCACGATTTTGGTTGTTGCGTTACACTTTCCTGTCACGCAAGCTTACCATAAGGACAATGGTGGTGACGGAATTACCCACCACCTGAATGTCGTTCAAGATGTCTGTCTGGAGCGAGGGAGTACTAACTTCAATTACCTTCAGTATCTGTTGGTTGGCCGTCACCCACAGTACCCCAAGAAACGTTCACTGGTCCAATTTGAAAATCTACCTTTAGAATGTCCTGTGCACAAAATTCGTTGGGCTAAGATGTACCTTTACTATGAATACGCTCACAAACCCAGTTGGCATCATGTTTCCCGTTCTCCCTACACCTCCCGTCCAATTCAAGTCCATCTGGTCAAGAAAGCGTGGGCCGAAAGCCAAGCCACGAGTGCGAGGCGTTTGAATGGCATAAATTGGTCTCAACCATGGCTTGATTTGAATAACAATGATGCCGAGGCTACACCCCAGGACTGCGCGACCACCATCTACACCTACCGACCAAGAGGCTTTGTCGAGTTTGACGTCACTAGGGCTGTACGTAGCTGGCGTAAAGGTACGCCTAACCATGGCCTGTTGCTATGGGCAACGGATGAAAATTTGGCGGGACGAGGTCTACGCTTCTGGAGCAACGCCCATCCTGATTCCAAGAAACATGCATTTATTAATGTCTTGTGCAACTACTAAAGTTTGGTCAACAGGTTACAAAATTTTTCCGAACCTGTTCCGAATCGTCTTCGATAAAAATGTTTTGATCATTAAAAAGCTAGCTTTAAAAAAATCCTTCTTGAAAATTTTAAAATAAGAAGCAAAGTAAATTCATAACTTCATAACTAGCACTCGTATTAAGCTGAGGTCAGTTTTTAGAGTAAAAGCTGAAGTCTTTTAGAGCACCTAAATGGACGCACTAATACATCTGATCGAAATATGTCTACCAATTCGAATAATTATTGTTCTGCACTAACTTGCAACTGACTTGCCTCTCTTACATGTGAGAACACTTTTATGTTTCCACGTGAACACGAGTCTAGTCAGTCGCTAGTCAGTGTAGAACAATAGTTATTTAAATTGGTCGCCATATTTCGATTCCGTGTATAGACAACAAGTATAATTTGTTTAAAGGGTGTAAGACTTAGTTCCTGAATGATCATTAACTGAAATAAATAATAAAATAATCAGTAGTTTAATTGTCTACCTTTGTAATTATACTATGGGTATGTCGTCCTAGCACTTTTAAAGTCACGTACACACTACAAAGAACTGGTGCCCACCCAAAAAGCCAAAAAGTAATTTGAATGCTTAAAAAATCATGCCTGCTATTGAACCTCTATCCATTGGTGGCCTTTTTCCTGTTGTCATGGTAACAGTCAAAACATAAAGCCGAACTATAAAAAGAAGAGTTTGAGGTGGACCTGAGATGACGTATTCCATAAACTTTGTTCGGTTAGTAGCAAAGCGGAGCGTGAGAAGCTTTTGTTGCAAACGGCAAAATTATCATGAGAAATAACTCATTCAGAGGCAAATTTGGTAGAAGACGCTTTGAATGAATGGGAAACCCTACGATATCAGCAGGGGAAACTAAGGCACATGCTTAACGAATTCCGCAATCCTTGAAACCCCCTTCCCTTCCCCCCAACATATAAAGATCCCGGGGGAACTACCATACATAAGAGCTAACTTAGAGAGTTATTTGATGGAAGTCAGATGAGATCAGATGAAAAACCGAAATTTAAAAAAAGCATCCTGAATTACAGCTGTCGTTCCGACTGTCATTACTTAATCTCAGGTATCTCATTTCCAGACAGACACCATGAGGGGTACCGGCTTACTCTCTGGTGGTACATTTAGTAGAATTGTGACACCCTTCGAGACACGAAATTACAGATCTAGAACCCTAAAGGTACGACGCCCCGCCCTTTTCCAAAAAGAGTCCCCCTCAGGGATATTAGCGTTAAGCTGGTTCCCTTCAACACTTGGAGATTTTCCCTCGGGATTTCCGTGTTTTCTCCCTTGAAAGACAAGCTCTTCCCAATTCCAATTGACAATATGATCAACAGGTTGATTTGGAGCTGCTGGTTATCACCGACGTTCTCTCATAAATCTGTAATAATAATAATGTAATAATGTCTTTATTAAAGAAATGATAAAATACATATCATTAACGTGATTACAATCATAAAACTAAAAAACTGATTAAAAGATACTAATTACTAAAGATTATTCTATTTACAAATGAGTTTTTAAAACGTTGAGAATTAACTCTAGGTCTAATAAAATATGATTTCTTTAAATTATATTTGGACGTTTGTATTTTAGGCGCTATGTTATGCAAAGGATGGTCACTACTAACCGATTTCTTATATAGCCTTGTGTCAAATTTATTTAAAAGATCCTGGATATTATAATGGTATATTGTATAATTTCGTTTGTAACAGCGATCTAAAAAGTTTTGTACGGTGGTAAGCTCCGGAGGTGATGCTCCATAAACACTAAGACCATAAATTAGTTTTGATATAACAATTGTTGAAAATAAATGGTCAACTTCTTTTTGTGTATATCCTTCCTTCCTAAGGGATCTTATAACAAATAAAGATTTGTTTATAGCTRTAATGGTATCTTTTACATGAAGGTCAAATCTACTATCACTTTGGAAAGTAATACCTAAGATTTTAAGACTGCTACACTGAGGAATATTAGAAATAGGCTGAAAACTAAATTGGTCCATTCCTTTCTTAGTAAAAATTATTTCTTTGCACTTAGTAGGATTGCATGACATACTATTATTCGAGGACCATAACATGAAAGAATTAACATAACTGACTGAATTATCAGTTGGATTAATGGAATAATGTCATGATGTAATGTAATGATAATAAGAAAACTATTTCGTAAGGGCATCGTCTCGCTTGGTTAGCGAAAATAAGATAATGCGCGTGAGTGCAAGTTAGACTCATTCGCAAACATTACTGTCTTCATACGTTCGTAGCTCGATAGCTTCAAGATCGTCAGTCCGTTCGTCTCTAGTTCCAGTTGAAAACTGCCGAAGAAGTAAGTAAGTAAGTAACTGGAATTGTATATTCGTTGACATGGGTTGCATGCGCTGTTACGGCATTGTCGATTTCTTATCACTGTGCGACTGAGTTCAACCCTGGGGTCTTTGATTCTCGACCGAACTTCATATATGAGTAGAGTCTGTTTGATGTGTCGTTCTCTCCCTTGCAACAAGGGTTTTTCTCCGGATTTCTACGTTTCCCGATCATATATCCCACATGTGAGTTGAGTGTTGTAAATAATGAATGTAATGGTAGTGGATATGGAGTGAACTTCACGTAACAGCCCCTTATCGCGGCCATCTCCTCCCTACTAACACAGTGGCTGAGAACCTCAAGAACTCCTGATGGCTGGGGTAGGATAGAGGATAGCGCTAGTTGGTGTTTACAAACACTGGCATTGTGCCGGGGTGGGTCTAGTGGGGTTCGGGGGGTCCGTTGAAACCTATGACTACAACCTACAAACAACCTAAACTGAGTATTTCAGAAGAAGACGGAACAACACAGGCGATCTTAATCGTTCTTGCCAAGTCTCTTTGTTTTTCAATAGCTTATACTATACGTCACAGCAACTAGCGCCATACAAATTAAGAAAAATTGGAAAGTGAATGACAATGTGGAATGCTTTAAACCGTAGGATTTGATGGTGCTGACATTGATTCCTGTCGCGATGCTGATTGTTGTGTTACCCTTCTCCGTCACGCAAGCCTACTCTACATACAATGATGGTGCCGGGATTGTCCATCGACTGGATGTCGTTCAAGATGTCTTTTTGAAGGAAAGGGATGCTAACTTCAATCACCTTCAGTATCTGTTAGTTGGTCGTGAATCGCCATACGGCCTTCACCGTTCACTTCTCAAATTTGAAAATCTGCCGCATGCAGCATGTCCTATAGACAAAATACGTTGGGCCAAGATGTACCTTTACTTCTTCGACGGTCACATACCCGATTACCCCTCTTATATCAACACCCCCTACCACCCCCGTCCAATTCAAGTCCACATGGTCAGGCGCAATTGGTCGGAAAGTCAAGCCACGAGTACTAAGCGTTTTAACGGCACAAAATGATTCGGAGAGTTTCTTAATTTGATGGAAAATGATGCCGAGGCTGCGCCTCAGGACTGCCCAACCACCATCTACACCCGCCGACCAAGCGGCTTCGTCGAGTTTGACGTCACTCGGGCTGTCCGTAGCTGGCGTTTTCGTACTCCTAACTATGGTCTGTTGTTGTGGGCAACGAATGAAGGATCGGTGGGAAGATATCTAGCTTTTGCGAGCAACGCCAATCGTGATCGCAAGAAACGTGCATTTATCGATGTCATGTGCGACAAGATACGAACTCATTCCGAATTGTTCCCGTCTGTTTCATTTACTAAATGCCAGCCTAAAGACTGTAAAATAACTCGTCATTCTTAAGCAAAAAAAAGAACAACAAGAAATAAAATAAAGTAAATTTAAACCTTATTGAAATAATTAGCAGTTTGTCACCTTTTTGTAAACAAGACCGTGGGGGGACCCCTGGGGGCATCCCTGGGGTGGACATTTTACTAGTGAGTCTCTGAAATAGACGAAGTCCTTACTTTTAACCATACGAACACCATACTGTACCCTCCAAAAGTGAGGTCTACAAACTGTTTTTTCTCCCCTTCCCATTTAGTTGGTACATCTAGAGATGCGTTACGGTCACGCGTACGTTACGTTACGTTTCAGTAGATTCAGTTTCCTAGTAGACTTGCTCTAAGTCTCGCTCGTTATTTTTTCCGGCCATTCCCTTTGGAAATCTGTCGGAACCCGAAGTGCCGAAAATTGAATTCGACGACTCGCCAACGGAAAAAATAAGGAGCGAGACTTGGAGCAAGTCTAGTTTCCTAGAAGTCAGACGTATTCAATAAGATCTCATCAGGCATTCAAATAGAGCTTCGAGTAGGCTTCGAGCAAAGCAGATTTGATTGCTGTAAAATAAGGTTTCACCGACGAGGTTTTCATCTTCTGATATCCAGTGCTTTCTATACAAAAAAAAATCATCTTATTCCAGCGATCCAGAAAGTCAAGGAACTATGGAATTAAGGTATGCAATTCCCTTTGTATGTTTTCATCTGTTGTCTTGTTGGTGTCAGTCGGGTCTCAAAAAAGGGAAAGATTACCTGGCTTCCCCGATGTCGCAAAATCATCAAAATCCCTGTTATTTTAGTGGAAAAACTTTGGATTATGATTGCCTGGCTTCACTAAAATGATGCAGACATTATTTCCTGAGTTGTTCATTGGCTGAATCGAAGGTTTCCAAATAATTGCATTCTTTCTGGCTGAGTGCTTGACTACCATGGCCATTTCTTGAGCAGAGTCAGCCTGATGGAAACATTTGATGACCAGCGTCCCATGCAAGATATCCTATTAATTGTCTTGATACTAATTATAAGATATACTGCTTTTTTTTGACTGCAGCAATATAATGGCTTCAGAAGACAATGTAACTGTTTCATCACCAGCTTCAATCGAACATGAGTTTTCGAGCCCCTGGGATGACAGTGACCTCATTCTTGTTGTCGAGGATCAACAACTCCACGTTCATCGGTTCATACTCAAGATGGCGTCACCAGTGTTCAAAGCCATGCTGTCATCTGATTTCAAAGAGAAAAAGGATGCTAAAATCCCATTACCAGGGAAGAAGGCTGATGACTTTGTTGTCCTTCTGCAACAGATTTATCCCCAGTCCAACCGAAATTCCATCACACGTGAGTTATAAATGTAAAGTCTGGAACTAAATGGGTCGGCCCTACCTCTCTAGGCTGTCACCTATGAATTCCTAACTCCTTACGTAATATGTTTTAAAAATCAGAAAGTGAAGATAGTCGAGCTTTCAAACTTCTCATTCGGAACTTGGTCTTCCGTTTGGCCATGTTGCATGATGACGTCATGCACATGGCCGGGGAAAACCTGGTTATGAGTCCCGCGGTTTTAAAATGCAGCTAGTTTAGCCGGTGCCAGTTACACCATTTAGATTAGGTAAGACAATAGAATTAATTAAATTAAAATGTAGAATGAAAAAAAATGCATTACAACTTTCGGTAGTGATTATGACCCGCTTTTGGATTTAACATAAGCTCAGGGCTTATGACCTGGAATTTACGCGATTCAACATTTTAGAGATCAACTATTAGATATCAAGATTTGCTGTATGCTTTTATCTTTCAGTGGCCAACGTGGAACACATCTACGAACTCGCAGCAGCAGTAAGGGGGACTCGCGAAACGCCGGCACGACCAAAAAAAAATACAAAGAAATGTATGCAGTTACGAGGCCCTACAGGGGGTCTTGCGCGATCCGTCGGCAGCCGCGCGATAAGTCCTTACTGCTGCTGTGTTGGGAATCGCAAACGGAGGTTAAGATATTCCTTAGATATAGATGGACACCATCACGAGCATTCGTAACAAAACTGTGCGCCGACTGCGAACTCAGGTGTTGGATCGCCTGGATGGGGACTTTGCCTTCACAACGTTTATGGAGGG